TTTGACAATGTGTTTTCACTTATTTGTAGACAAATGCCCCTGAATTTGACATAGTGAAAATTAGCCATTACAGAACTTTACATCGATTTCCTTTCTAAATGTTTTAAGAAAGTATAGCTCGTTATATAACAAAAACCATGTTAGTAAAAATTTCAAACTTTTTCTTTAAACATTCTGAGTATGCAGTTTTGTAGCCCATTCAATATTATTTTAATGAAGTGCTAATTTTAAGTAACTAGGACTTGCTATTGATTTTGGGATCGGCCACGAACGGCCGATGCCGATGCCGATTAATCGGTCGGACTATAAAACATACATATATGTACGTAAGTATGTACATATGTATGTATATAAGAATGTTTTTGCACATATCGCTCATTTGCTGCAAGAGTGTCAAAACCGAAAAAATCAAAAGCAGTTTACATACATATGTATGTACATATCGTTACCTAAAGGTGAAAAGGTGCCAAGTCCATTTTTTTGAAATCAATTACTAACGAACTAAATTTGGAAGAAATGGACGTGACAACTTTTCACATTTAGTTAGCGATCTTCCCTAGTGAGTGAGTGAGTGAGTGAGTGAGTAAACGATGTAGTTAAGAACTTTTTTACACAACATAGAAGAAGAGGTGGCGATTATTTATGCAAAATTGTGTTTTTGGATTGTGGCACTCTTGCAGAAAAATTGCGATATGTGCATAAACTTATAAACAAACATACGTACCTATACATATGTATGTACATATGTATGTATGTATGGACGTGCGGGCTTTTGTTTTGCGAATAAAATTTCTTCAATTTGAACATGTCATTGTCTCATATTTACTATATTCAATTACGTTTTTTATTAATCATTTATGAAACTAACTACAAGCTGTTACAGCCAATTTTACGAGAACAATTTAAGTGAAAAATGATTTAATTTTATAAAAATATTATATGGAAATTGACAGAAAAAAAAAAACCATTTTCCATTTAAATTGCTGGTGAAACCGGCTTTAAGTGTCGATAGAACAAAAAAACGTTTATTTATACTAACAGCAATTGCATTAATACAACATGTCAAGGGTCACCGCTGGTTATTGTTACTCGCTTATGTACATAAATACATATTTTTACCATACGCTAAACGTGTGGATGTTAATTTATTTATAGGAATGTGATTTATTGCAAATGTATACATGTATGTACATTAGGGTGGTCCTTAAAAAAATCAAATGAACGATTTTTTTCAGTTTCATCCCCTCAATCGGTAATACCACGGTCACAGATATCACATATAAAAATTGGCCCCGATTGGAGACTTTTGAGTCATGTCGCACAGGGGGAAAAGTACAGATTCTTCTATAGAGTAAAAAAATTTAAATAAATTTTTTTTTGCATCTAATACCCAAAATCGATACTACCTTAGTCGAAGATATCATATTTTGTTTCCGATTGGAGTTGGTTAAGGTGTGTCGCAAATGGGTCAAAGGCCAGATGCCTCTATGGACTCAAAAAATTAAAAATATTTTTTTTTTATTTAATACCCAGAATCGATATCACTAAAGTCGAGAATATCACATATAAATTTTGGTCCCGATTGGAGTCGGTTAAGACGTCTTCGTAGGGTTATCTGAACTTTGACCCCTGTGCGACACGCCTTAACCGCCTCCAATCAGGAACAAAATTTATATGTGATACCGTCGGCAATGGTAGTAGCGATTTTGGGTATTAGATGAAAAAAATAGTAATATTAATTTTTTGAGTTTGCATAGAAGGATCTAAACTTTGCCCCCTGTGCGGCACGCTTAACCGCCTTCAATGGGGACCAAAGTTTATATGCGATATCTTCGACTATAGTAGCATCGGCCTAGGGAGTGAGGTTTAGGAAATCTGATGTAAAAATTTGCTTCCTACATTTAAAGACCACCCTAATGCACATACATATGCAAGTTTAATTTTGCAAACCATTATATAAGCCTGAGAATATTTATATAAAAAAGTTTAAAAGGCCTTGGTCATAGTGCTGATAAGACTCAGAATTCTAAATAAATTCCACAAATATTTTACTAAATACATACATATGTACATATGTATGTATATATATGCATAAATGTGTAAACAAAATATGTGTATATTTTTATTCAAACTGTGTGTGTATTTTTAAAAGCTGATATGTTTAAGTGGGTATTTTGAAAATTCCTACTAAGCAAATTCTTAGAATGAATTCAGGAATAAAACGAAACGCAATTCTTATAGAACGGCAATATTATGAAACGACAAGCTTTCAAAACACACGTAAATTAAAATTAATAGAATATATTTGTAAAAGTACATTTTTTCATAATTCAGACTTTCGACCAAATTTTGAACTTTATAGCTAATACATATAATCTCCGACGCTAGATAATTCCAAATACATATTTTTGGACCTAACTTTGGACGAGTACACACATATGTAAATATATACGAGTAAATACATAAATATGTACACACAGCATCTGATTAACGTCACAGAATGCCCGAAAACGCATACTGATAAGATTGGCGCAGTCAAAGTACAAGCGCGTACAACAAAATGATGCCCTGTAGAAAAAATGTTTTTAGCGCTAATTCTTGATGCGAACGATTTATTTATTTATGGCCATGGTTGTCGTTTATACATATGAGTATAGTCTTCGCTACGCATACATACATATTTAATCGTATCTTTATCTACATGTGTATATTAGGGCAGAGTTATTTGTTCGGAGCAAATTTTTCGAGGAAAGTGTATAGCAAACTCAAATTCTACGATGAATTCTAAGCAAAAATGGCGAACAAACTATGTTTATACCAAAAACGAGTTTTCATCCTCACAATTTTCAAGAGAAAAAGCAGTATATTGTATGAAGAAAACACAAACTTTAGTAAATGAAAACTTAATTTCTCTCAGAGAAAATTATAATACACTGATTTTTCTTTTAAAAATTGAGAGAGTCTAACGTCATTTTTGCTATATATAGTTTGTTCACCATTTCCGCTTAGAATCGAACGTAGAACTCGAATATGCCATATACTTTTTTTGAAATTAAACTACTCCGCCCTAATGTATCTATTCCACTTTTTAATGAACATTTTGAGAAACATTTTTAGTACGCAAGATTTTAAATAGCTAAAAATTACCGTTGATTTTTGAAATTTTTTTTTGATGAATAGTCCAGTAGAATCGTCATGAAAAAAGCTCTCAGCTTGCACAAAGTCCAAAAAATCACACGTCAGAGAGTCTCCCTATCAAAACCGCGTTTTATATAAAACAGCACGGAGAGGTCCGTCCCTCTTCTGACGGAGCTGATGGTATTGCTCAACATCATTTTACACAGACGCTTTAGTTTCGCAGGGACACCAAATTCCGACATGACAGCATAAGGACAACTTCACACTGATGTAGTCCGATTGGGCTTTAACCTTTCACACAATACGCCAAATTAAGGTCGTATAGTCGACATTTAGAAGGCTGAACCCGCGGTGGTTGGNCGAACGATTTATTTATTTATGGCCATGGTTGTCGTTTATACATATGAGTAGTCTTCGATACGCATACATACATATTTAATCGTATCTTTATCTACATGTGTATATTAGGGCGGAGTTATTTGTTCGGAGCAAATTTTTCGAGGAAAGTGTATAGCAAACTCAAATTCTACGATGAATTCTAAGCGAACAAGCTATGTTTATACTAAAACCGAGTTTTAATCCTCATAATTTTCAAGAGAAAAAGCAATATATTGTATGAAGAAAACACAAACTTTAGTAAATGAAAACTTAATTTCTCTCAGAGAAAATTATAATACACTGCTTTTTCTTTTAAAAATTGAGAGGGTCTAACGTCATTTTTGGTATATAGTTTGTTCACCATTTTCGCTTAGAATCGAACGTAGAATTCGAATATGCCATATACTTTTTTCGAAATTAAACTTCTCCGCCCTAATGTATATATTCCACTTTTTAATGAAAATGTTGATAAACATTTTTAGTACGCAACATTTTAAATAGCTAAAAATTACCGTTGATTTTTGAAATTTTTTTTGATGAATAGTCCAGTAGAACCGTCATGAAATAAGCTCTCAGCTTGCACAAAGTCCAAAAAATCACACGTCAGAGAGTCTCCCTATCTAAAACCTCGTTTTATATCAAACAGCACGGAGAGGTCCTTCCCTCTTCTGACGGAGCTGATGGTATTGCTCAATATCATTTTACACAGACGCTTTAGTTTCGCAGGGACACCAAATTCCGACATGACAGCATAAGGACAACTTCACACTAATGTAGTCCTTTCACACAATACGCCAAATTAAGGTCGTATAGTCGACATTTAGAAGGCTGAACCCGCGGCGGTTGCTAAATATGGCGGGGTTGTCTTTCTTGTGGATTGAGGTGGAGTGGATGCTACACGACTTCTCAGTTCTAGTTAAGACGGATTCATAGTTTTTTCAGTTGCTCCCCCAGAGGGAGAAACACAACAACAACCAGATGGAAGAAAAGTTCTGAGCTACTAGAACGATGCATCCGCCTTTATACTGCAACATTAATTCAGGCACGCCGTGTTTTCATGAAACAAAATTTTGCTGCTAGTGAATCTCGTAGCATGATTTTAGTTAAATGTTTTTGTATCGCGATTTAAGCTTTAGACACAATTTTTGTTTGGTTCTTAGAACCCAGACCTTAACTTGGCATTTTCGAATTTTCTTTATAAATTTTTTCTATATGCTCCCTATTACTCACATGTCACTTGCAACCCATTCACATTCGCAAAAAAAAAAAGATTTCTAAAAGGCTACGTATTTTTCTTGTAAGTGGTTTTATATTGTATAGTNGGATGCTACACGACTTCTCAGTTCTAGTTAAGACGGATTCATAGTTTTTTAAGTTGCTCCCCCAGAGGGAGAAACACAACAACAACCAGATGGAAGAAAAGTTCTGAGCTACTAGAACGATGAATCCGCCTTTATACTGCAACATTGATTCAGGCACGCCGTGTTTTCATGAAACAAAATTTTGCTGCTAGTGAATCAGGTAGCATGATTTTAGTTAAATGTTTTTGTATCGCGATTTAAGCTTTAGACACAATTTTTGTTTGGTTCTTAAAACCCTGACCTTAACTTAGCAATTTTCTTTATAAAATTTTTCTTTATGCTCCCTATTACTCACATGTCACTTGCAACCCATTCACATTCGCAACAAAAAAAAGATTTCTAAAAGGCTACGTATTTTTCTTGTAAGTGGCTTTATATTGTATAGTCCACATACATATTTATTAGAGTGGTCCAAAAAAATAAAGTCGGAGTTTTAATGCCGGCACACCCTAGGATTGATCTATATCGAAAAAAATATACCCCTATGTTTTATTTTGAAATCAAAAAATATTTAGGGAGTGCTCAAAGCGCTCAAAGTTTTCCATGTATTTTATATGGAGAAANTACTTATCTTCAGGAGATTCCCAGTAATAATACTCAATTGTTTCTTTAACAATTTTTTCATGGTAACTATATTTTATAGGTCCTCCAAAGCCCTTAGAAAATGCAATGGGGGACCAATAAAAAATCTTTAATCGTAAAAAATGGTTAAATAAACAATTGGATATTAATACTAGAAGTCTCCTGAGTTTCAGAGNTTTTTGTGGTATTTTATAATAATTAGTGAATAGTAGACTTGCATACATACATATACATGTAGATTAGAGTGGTCCAAAAAAATAAAGTCGGAGTTTTAATGCCGGCACACCCTAGGAAAAACCGGTCGAAAAATATTGATTTTCAAGAGTTTTATACAATTTCTACGAAAAATTGTTTTTTCTCCATATAAAATACATGGAAAACTTTGAGCGCTTTGAGCACTCCCTAAATATTTTTTGATTTCAAAATAAAAAAATATGGGTATATTTTTTTTTGGTATATAACAATCCTAGGAGGTGGCGGCATTAAAAATCCGACCTTATTTTTTTTACATACATTTTTGGACCACTTTAATATTTATGTACATATGTACGTCATATAAGTTAAATGTAGAACGCATAAGGAAATATTGTAAACAAAAACAAAAATATCGCATAAATATCCGTCGTATGTAATTGAACACTGCANCTAAATATTTTTTGATTTAAAAATAAAAAAATATGGGTATATTTTTTTTGGTATATAACAATCCTAGGGGGTGGCGGCATTAAAAATCCGACCTTATTTTTTTACATACATTTTTGGACCACTTTAATATTTATGTACATATGTACGTCATATAAGTTATATGTAGAACGCATAAGGAATATTGTAAACAAAAACAAAAATATCGCATAAATATCCGTCGTATGTAATTGGACACTGCACGCTATGATGTTTGTTTGATTAAGTGATTAAAATTCAATAAAAAAAGCAGCAACTTTCCCTTAGGCAATTCCGCGAATTATCGGGGACGCATTATTTGTATGACATGTGTTGTTAAGTCTATTAGATCTATGGAATTGCATTTAATCAAGACGACACAGACCTGAGAAAAATTTCGTTGACTTATTTTTTAAATTTTCTTTTGCAGAGATAACAAGGTTCTTCGAAAGAAGTTACTCACCCGCAGGCTGCATGCAGTTTACTGGCAAATTATTGAGTACCTTAATCTGAATGGAAGCCTAAGTGTATAAAAGGTGCGTAAAAATTGCTTTAAACTTTACCTTGGTATATATCCGCACAGCAATTGTTAAATTCTTAAGCAGTTGAGTGTTTTTAGTTAAGATTTTCACAATCCTTAAATATTCACCGTTATAATGCCATTTGAATGCCTTCTAATCTATGTAGTAGTTAAAAAAAAATCTAATTTTAAATTTTCAAAGTNTAAAAAAAAAACAGCAACTTTCCCTTAGGCAATTCCGCGAATTATCGGTGACGCATTATTTGTATTACATGTGTTGTTAAGTCTATTAGATCTATGGAATTGCATTTAATCAAGACGACACAGACCTGTGAAAAATTTCGTTGACTTATTTTTTAAATTTTCTTTTGCAGAGATAACAAGGTTGTTCGAAAGAAGTTACTCACCCGCGGGCTGCATGCAGTTAACTGGCAAATTATTGAGTACCTTAATCTGAATGGAAGCATAAGTGTATAAAAGGTGCGTAAAAATTGCTTTAAACTTTACCTTAGGATATATCCGCACAGCAATTATTAAATTTTTAAGCAGTTGAGTTTTTTTAGTTAAGATTTTCACAATCCTTAAATATTCACCGTTATAATGCCATTTGAATGCCTTCTAATCTATGTAGCAGCTAAAAAAAAAAATCTAATTTTAAATTTTCAAAGTAACTTCTATTCTCAACAGTACTTCAGCTCTTACTATCTTCTATACTTACGGTGACCAGATTTCTGTGGCCAAAAACCGGGACATTTCTAAAGCATCGAATCCGAACATACAATTTTGTTTTTAGAATAAAAAGGCTTAATACAACTTTATTTGAAACAAAACAAAGAGAAAAAATTTAAAAGTAATTATTATTTTTTTATGAAAATATAACTTACTATCTACAAAAAACATGTAACTCAAAATTTTTAAATTTGTAGAACATTTATAAAAATTCGACGAATTTCAATAAATATTCATTACAATTTGAAACATTTTAATCAGATTTTCTAGAATTGCTTTGAGTATGAAGTTTTGAAGTCTATTAAATTTATAATTTATTATAAAGTGCAAATTGGAAGAAGCTTGGACTNTTAAGCAGTTGAGTGTTTTTAGTTAAGATTTTCACAATCCTTAAATATTCACCGTTATAATGCCATTTGAATGCCTTCTAATCTATGTAGTAGTTAAAAAAAAATCTAATTTTAAATTTTCAAAGTAACTTCTATTCTCAACAGTACTTCAGCTCTTACTATCTTCTATACTTACGGTGACCAGATTTCTGTGGCCAAAAACCGGGACATTTCTAAAGCATCGAATCCGAACATACAATTTTGTTTTTAGAATAAAAAGGCTTAATACAACTTTATTTGAAACAAAACAAAGAGAAAAAAAATTTAAAAGTGATTATTATTTTTAAATGAAAATATAACTTACTATCTACAAAAAACATGTAAATCAAAATTTTTAAATTTGTAGAGCATTTATAAAAATTCGACGAATTTCAATAAATATTCATTACAATTTGAAATATTTTAATAAGATTTTCTAGAATTGCTTTGAGTATGAAGTTTTGAAGTCTATTAAATTTATAATTTATTATAAAGTGCAAATTGGAATAAGCTTGGACTACCGCTGATTTTTGGGCAATTTTTTGTTCGCGCATTTTCTCCCAAACACAGTGAGGTTGTTTACTGGTTATCAGGTTATCTGGTTAAAAATAATTATTGCTGTGTCGGCCGCTGTGGTGTAGTGGTCAGCAGTGCGCGCTCCACTCCGCTGCGCCAGGGTTCAAGCCCTGGTCAAAGCAACATCGAAAAAAATATGGAAAAATNAGTGAGGTTGTTTACTGGTTATCAGGTTATCTGGTTAAAAATAATTATTGTGTAGTGTGTTTTATTGCTGTGTCGGCCGCTGTTGTGTAGTGGCCAGCAGTGCGCGCTTCCACTCCGCTGCGCCAGGGTTCAAGCCCTGGTCGAAGCAACATCGAAAAAAATATGGAAAAAAGGTTTTTTCTTAACAGCGGTCGTTCCCCGGCAGGCAACGGCAAACCTCCTTGTGTATTTCTGCCATGAGAAAAGCTTCTCATAAAAATACAATCGCCGTTCGGAGTCGGCGTAAAACTGTAGGTCCCTCCGCTTTGTGTGACAACATCAAGGCGCACACCACAAATCGGAGGAGAAGCTCGGCCAAACACTAACATATGTGTAAGCGCCAATCTATTATTATTAT